GAGTAATGAAGATGAATGATAAATCCAACAACAACATCTCTTTATAAGCGGAGTTTATTGGGCATCCTGAAAAGATCACACTATTAATAACTATATAGGGACTGCTTCGTTGGTAGAAATTCAATTAAAAACATGAACTGCAAAGTCTGTAGGTCATCCAATGTAGCTGCGCCGCTGCTTGTGGAAAGATACAGGCCACAATTCATTCACTTTTAAAATTGCGTTTTGGTGCTGTGAGAAACACAAATCTAATTTCATTCGACTACATCGTGTTATGTCAGGGGCAGAGACCTTAGAGGCAGACAATATCAAAAGCTGGGCTACGGAACCAAAACTCACTGCATTCTAAAATACCACCAGAATTTTTTTTTAAAACGTGTGTTATTTCAGTGAACCAACCTTTTAGAACTAAAACAATCAGTTAATTAACAGAGCAGTCGATCGGCTGAAAATAATCAGCAACTACTGCGATAATTGATGGTTCCTTTAAGTAAAAACACCAAACGCTCTCTAGTTCCAGCTTCTCAGATTTAAGCATTTTCTGCTTTGCTTTGATGGCATAAAAGCAATAAACAGAAAAAAAAATTACATTTTCGACTGTTGGTTAACTAAAATAAGATGTTTTTTAAATTCTTAATGATATTTAACAGTCTATGATTGATCAATTAATCTAGAAAATAACTGGGGGATCAACTAACAATGAAGTCCATTGTTCATTTCTGTATCAAGGGTCCCATTTTCATGATCTTCACCTCTGCTTTTTTTTTTTTTTTTTAATTTGTGTTGTTTTCTGTTGCTTCCCAACACCCCACAGCCAAAGAGAAGCCTGGGAAACAAGCCACACTCTAGTCCATTACAATTAACTATAGTGATCCTAGCCGTTCTTAACCTGTGACAGAAGGTTCTTCCTGCCACTCTTCCCTTGTAGATGAGCCTGTAATAGGGCCACATAATTAGCAGTGGCTGCCTCGGAGCTCTGCCCAGCTCAGACGCCCAGGGCTCTCATTACCCACAATGCTGCCTGGGCTATTAAATATCAAACACCTTTTTGTGCTGGAGGCCTGACCGCCCCTTAGCCTACGGCTACCCCTCTGTACTGTGCTGTGCATGCATGTGTGGGATTGTGTAGCATGAGTGTGTAGCAGCACACATTTGGATTAGTGCTTTCACACATCTTTATGATATGTAAGGATACCCACTTACATGTACATTCATGTCTCACAAGGACATAATGTGTAAAATACAGACTTGTAGACATGGAAGAATTTATGTGGGGGATTTTGTGGGAGGAAGACATGGAGTAGGATGTTCCAAACTGCCCTCTAACAGAATGTTAACACTGTTTTTAAAATATTTTTGTCCTTCCTTTGCAAATTCTATATCCGGAATCAGTTTGCAGTAAGTCCAACTCTCTAGAGAGGGAAGGAAGCCCAAGTGGATCCAGTAAACTTATGGACTGATAATATAAACTCATGTACTTCAAGTAGAGTTCCTTTTAAAAGCCTCAGGCTTTTTAGTTAAACAAGAATGTTGCCAAGAGCAGAGGAAAGGAATAAAAAAAAATCTAAGAACTTTACAGGAGCATGGACAATCAATTAGTCAATGTTTCTCCTTTCATGTGCATAAAGGAACTGTTATTCTTTTACGCATTAGCACTTCTTTTTAAGTGTATTAGAACCACAGTATGAAAACCACTTCTGAAAAATGGGTCTGGGGGTAATTCACAAAATGTTTAGTTGATGTTTTTAGACAGAAAGTGTGAAATACATGGTTTACTTCTTTACGTTTCTTTTTTTTTTTTTTTTAACATCGTGGTTGATTCGTTTAAACTGCAGGAGAGAATCACCATCTGAACAGGACTGCTATTTCCCATTCTTACTCAAGAATATACACAGTCCCTTGTGATGTACAAGATAACCTTGGAAAGCAACCCATGATCTCAACATTATGTTTCAATTCAAAGCTGGATTATACATAGTCTTGTGGTCCTGTGATTCACTGTGAGGCACAAGGCTCTACATCAGTGTTCTGTGAGTGTGCAGCCTTTGAAACAGTACCATCATATCTGATCATACGTGAAGAAAATTAAAAGACAGAGAAAAATCAGTCATGTTTTGTTCTAAATGCACTCTGTACTTGGTCACGTGGGTGCCAGGATCGGTTCCATAGGAGTGTGAAAGTATGCATTGCACCCTCAGTGTAATGTTTTGCACCTTCAGTTGAATGTTGAATACTGAATGTGCTGCCGTTAAGCTGTGAGTGGGAACTCTTGCTGAGTGACCGCCATGCAATGCACTCAGTAAAAAGGATCGGTCAGAATCGTGCAGGTGTGTTGCAGGTGCGCTTGAGTACCTCTCACTGTGGGTGGACAACTTCAGTCTACTAGTGTTTTCTAGTTGTCCAAATACCACTACAGGGAGATTCGAAAACGGTTGGGGAGGCTAAAGTTGAACATTGGCAGCAACACAGCCTCCACAGCTGCGGGGCAGAATCCAGTCAAAGTTAGCTTTCTCAAGTTCACCATCTACTGCAACCAGCTCACTCCCACCGCTCCACTCCCCCCCCCACACACAACTCGGCCTGCAATTTCAACAAGTGTTCGACAACCTCAGTACGGGGAGCCTCTGCAGGACTGTCAAAAAAAAAAGTCCAACTGGCTGTAAAGTGGGAAAGTTGGATAAGCCATTTGTTTGTTAGCTAAAGGGTTAAAAACATAAACTATCTCTGCAAAAACTGTGCTATATTTTGATGCATTTGTAGAAATTTCAACATTGTAGTCGTTTATTATTTGCTTGCAACTTCTTCCAGCTGTGTACCAACATAATCTGTTCACTGGGAACCATAGTAACACATCATTTTTTTGTACTGCAGTCGGTGTTATCAACACAACTGTAAAACGGTTTCCAAATATAGATGGCCTAAATTAATGAAGATGGCCCAATTTGAAATGTTAGGGCAAACTCACTTAAACATTGAAAACAAACAACACGATAGCATTTCCTGTACTTAGTAAATATCATACCTGATTACACTATAGACTGCAAACACTTCTTCAGCTTCGGTAATTCGGTCACAACGGCTGCTAAAGGTTCACAAAGCCAAAATGTTTGCCGTAAGTAAAGACATAGACTAAAGTGTATTGGCAAATTGCACAGACGTATACAAACTGGGCAATAATCCCTTTACGGTGTATGACGATCACTTTTAAGAGTCCGCTCTAATTTTAGATGCATCATAAAGTCATTTGGCTTTGGAAGCAGCCTCGGTGTGCCATTATAAAACAGATGCACCTTTTCTTTTTACTGTACATCTAAAAGGGAAGATGCCACAAAAATGTGTGGCGTACATGTGATAAGTGTGACGTCACATTCTGCTAAATTTAGCCACGTTTGCAAATGTACACGATGTTTATAGTGGAGCTGACCTATATTTTATAACTCATTAAAAGGAAACAATAAGTGAGCACCAATGAATGAGCCAAAAAAAAAAAAAGAAAAGAGATCAGAAGCCATTAAACCCATTATCTGACATGATTAAATTACTATTGCTTTAACCTAAACCACAGTGTGAAGGTTTTATGAGAGCATTTCTTATGGGACATTTACACTACATTTTATGCAACTAAATGCGCTTACTTGTTCATTACCTCATACTGCCTTGCTTAACATATGCTTCAATAAATAACCATCATCATTTTAATAGCTACATACTTCCCCAAGGGCAAAACACATAGGGAGCCAAATAGAAAATGCTTCAAACAAGAAAAAGACATGAAGCCTTTCGTACACATGTTGGTATTTGCAAAATACTCTACTTGCAGGACATTTGTGCTTCTGCTCTGGTATTTGTTTGCAGCTTTTCTTCCTTTTAAGTGCGTTTCCCTTAATGTTTAGATGATGTGTTCTCACCAAATCATTTTCCCAGTTTGAGTTTTGATTAATCAATGATCATTTCCGTTCAGCAATACAACATTTGGACTTCTTTCCTTGGCTTACCGATCTTAAACAAACCCCACCACATCTCAGGCTCTCCCTCACTCGCAGAGATTTCCTACATGAGACTGCCAATTGCTGATTGCCTAATTAGCAGCCGCCTTGGTAAAAGGACGCTAAATGTATGCACATCGCAGGCATACATATAGAACTAAATATAACGATTCCAAAGCGTTCATTTCATATGCATAAATCAGGCAGCAAATGAGAGTTATTATGAATGTAAAGTTGGCCGTGACAAAAACAGAGGAGGACAAATTTGATACCAACTCTGCATATGAAAATTAAAGCATGTTGTTAATTTTTTCAAACTAAAAAAAATGCTAATTGCTCCACAGAACAGTTTATTTCAGTGCTGAATGACTATGATCTATGTATTGTGTAGCTTGTATTTGCAGTACGTATGTTGTTGATCTTCTCTGTGCTGACAAAAATGCCCTGACATCAGCTTTGCACTGAGACAGACTGTACAGTAATAACACTTGACATGTCCTGCAGTTGTATTTACAAATTATACAGGCAGTCTCATTAACTCACTCTGCTGCTAAAATGATGCATGTTGATCTTGGCAGCACAAAAGGAGTTTTTTATCTTGGATGACCCTGGACATCTTGTCAGTTCACCAGCGAGCTAATACAATGTGGCATCGTTTGCACAGCTACAGACAGAAGACCTCCGTCGGCCTATGCAGATTTGAGTTTAATTGATATTCTGCCCTGATGCTCTGAATGGCAGATCATTTTATGGGCAAAATCCTGAATCAAATGAAACCACAGAGAGGGGAAAAAAAAAAGAAGCAAAAATACACTTTACTGATCAGTTTATAAAATCCGCTGGGAACAATTTACAAAATTAATCTCACTATGAACTGGAATATAATGCTCGACAGCTGCCTTGCAGGTTTGTGAGAATCACGAGTTGCTGAATGAGCAGCGAGAGCTTCTCTGAACCGTCACAACCGCTGCAGAAAGACGAGTGGATGCAAATGTAAAGAGGGTGAAACCTTACCGTTATCCTCCACGGAGAAATGGAAGAGGTCAGATGTGGCGTTTTCTTCATTCCGCAACACGTAGCAGATGTTCTGCTCATTAATGTCAGCTGTAACAGGAAAAATAACTTTATTTATTTATCTTGCCATATGGACGTGATAAAACAGGTGAAAAAGCACAGAAATGTGTGCAAATGTAAATAAAACCAATCACCTTAAAGCCAACGAAGGACAAACACAAAATCAAGATGACAAATAAACAACAAAAAACAAAAGGGTTTGACATAATTAATTGTGGAATGCAAATAAGAACCAGTGCACTCCACGTTTTAAAGTCAAAAGTTCTATTGTCAAGTGAATGTGAGATGATGAATGTTGAAAATGTTTATCGGCTTGCTCAAACTTAAAGCAAGGTGATCGCTAAAGCATAAATCGTACGTAGAAGACGTTTGTCCTTGTCAAGACGTAAAAAAAAAATTGTATTTATTAAACAATTTGCATTTTAAGATTAAAAAACCTTCATGTGATGTTTCATGCTGACTACAGAAATAGCCTCAAACGCACTTTGAAGTTGTATTATGGCTTTATGGCTGGTTCAAACACTCTCTCTGTCAAATAATTGTTGAAAGATGGAAGCTGTCCCGCTTCAGCACCGTATCAGCTACAGTAACAGCAGGTCTCTAGTATCACACTGATTCAGTTCCTTATCAGCACTCAGCATGAACAATTTTCCACCAGCGAAAGCATTCTGAAAGTCATGCATCCGTAATCCAGGACGATAAGGCCGCAACCTCAAATCCAAGACAGCTCAAACTAAAACCAACAGAGAGCGTTTAAATCCAGAAGCCGCCTGCTCTCTGTGTCAACAGCCCTGAAAACCAGGTGACGGTGGATCTTTTAATGACAGACGAGGTAAGAATGTTAAAAACAGGATTGCGGCGGGCACCTACACTTCCACAGCTGTTTTCCTAACTTCTCTGAATTACAGGGCTCTACCTGCATTTTTTTTTTCTCTCCAACCATTCTCCACAAACATCTATTACAGTGCAGAAAAAAAAATCATCAAGACTGTGAAAGGGCTTGGCCCCTGCAAACCACCTCCTTCAATAATAGATGTCGGAGGAAGGAGGTTCATAAAAGTATAAACCCCCGACTCCCAGCTGGGATGCATCTTAAGCCGCTTAGGTGGTTTCCTCTCCATCTCCGACAAGACGAACTATTTCACATTTCTGCATTATAGCATGATTTCTGTAAGAGCACTGTTCTACCTCCAGGATCGTGTTTAGCGAGGGTCATTCGGATCGCACAGGACACGCAGCACAAGAAGGATTTGTGGCGCAGACTTGAACCCGGGGACCTTACAAATATAAAGTCAACACTGTGAACGAGGGGCACACTGTTCATTAAATATTTAAAGAGAATGCCTCATGGGATGTGCCCTGGAAATAGGATGAGTAAATAAAGAGCGAGGGATTGTCTCTTTCACCTGACTGATTTCTTGTGACGAGCCTGTTTGCTCTCTCTCTCTCCCTCATTCCATCTCTCACGCCCCTTCCCTCATTCTTTATTTCTCTCATGCCACCTACACCTCCACCCCATTCCCCCCCCTTCATCCTTTGCACTCTCTTCCACTTTACTTGCTCTCTCTTCCTCCTTCTTCTGCCCTTTGCTTCTCCCTCCCGCTGCACTCTTGTCTCATCTGTACCCCCCCCTCTTTTTTTTTTTTTCAAAGACTGCAGCCGCACAGTGGTTGTCAGAAGAGTCCGTCTCCTGCAGACTGAAGAGCTCATTTTTTCTCTCTGTGTTCCCAGCACATGTCTGTGCTTTTGCCAGGCAGTGGCACAAGCAGGTGGATTTTCTTACTTCTTAATTCTCTCAGCATGATATGAAACACCGCATTGATTGCATCGCTTTGAACCTCAATCAGCAGCATTGTTGCCTTGATTCTGTCTGCCGTATCAGTAAACAGACATGCTTGCATGCAAAAAAATGTGTTCAAATTCAGAGTTAAAGTGGCGTATTTTTGGGGTATAGAAATGGATTTTGTTGAGAGCTTTCATTTGTCTCTTTGAATTCCTAAGATGTACACGTTTCAGTAAATTGCTCCAAATTGACTCGACCTGGTCAAACTATCAGAATGCGCTACAACTCAAATGCCATCCTGTCACGAACAGCTCTGCGCTGACCTTTTCACATGATCCTCTACTTCTGTCCTGCTTCATTTAACACACCACGGCAGAGAACATCAGATGTGAACATTCCCCCAGAGATGCAGATATAATAAATATTCATCTCTAACCGTCTACAAGACATTTGCGCGAAACATCAGCCTCTAACTTTGGGTATGCTAATTATGATTTGATGAGCAAGGCACATCTAAATCAGGCCCACAAATTAACTATTGAAAATCCCAAGCCACTACTTGTCACACATATGAATAATTATTACTCCATAAATTAAAATCTTTGGGAAGCTGTGTGAAAAATTAATCAAAACTTACAGATTTGCAGGGAATTTGAACTTACAACTTTCAGTTCTTCTGACGTATCATATCACACATAAGGGAAATATCATTATTTGATTACAAAAAAATCTGAATAAAGCTTCTTTAAACAAAATACCAATCATTAACTTCATGTTTTCTGATAGATTGACACTAATTTCAGTTTGCTTGATAATATTAATTGGGAAAACTGCTGTTACATTGTCTGTACTTTGTCAGATTTGACAAAATCACAGTCACTTGACATCCACATGCAACGTTCACGCAAAGTGAACAAGTTATGCTGCTACATGAGTGTGTTGTTAGGAGCTTACCTTGACTAAATGTGTCGATGGAGTTGTTTCCTTGTCCCAGGTTAACAACGTAACCATGTTTGGGCTGGGTGGTGATGTGGAACACCAGGGAGGCCGAAGTGCTGTCTCTGTCCTCTGCCCTCAGCACTGTGGAGGTGATGGGGAACCCCAGGTGCCCCGTGGACAAAATCTTCAAAGTGGGCGCACCCTTGTTCACCACAATCTGGGGCACGCCATTGTCAGTTGCCACTATGGTGATCACCATGGCTTGAGGCCGCCGGGTCTCAAAAACGGTGTCTGGGAACACATAGAAGTCAGTATGCGTGCCGTCGGTGACGGTAAAAGAAAAGGAGTCTTCTGATGATTCAGTTCCATCGTGTTTGTAGCTGATGAGGTTTTCATTGAGGTCTTGTTTGGTGAAGCTGGTGACCGGTGTGGACCGGTTGTAAAGCAGTTTGCCGTGAATAGGCAACTGGGTGATGGTGAATTTTATCAGCTTCTCAGCCGTGTCCTGATCTTCAGCCGTGAGCTCAAACGGTGTAATCAACTTAACCTGCCCTTCTGTGACAACTAAGCTGTTTATAGTCACAACAGGTTTCTTATTATCAACATCCACGATGGAGATTCTGAATGTTCTGAAAATAGGATTGTAGCCATCGGTGACTTCAAACTCAAAACTGTCCATCTTCACCTCATCGTCCGACGTGTGGATGTAGTAAACTTTACTGCCGGCCAGTTGGAGCTGAGTGAAAGACACAATGGGCATCCCAGGAGTATCTGTGCACTCTAAGTGGCCCCTGACAGGGGCCCTTGTGATGGTGAAGACTAAACTCTCATCAGGGCTGTTAAGATCAGAGGTACTGAGAAGATCTGTGGTCAAAGTCACTCTGCCACCTTCTCTCAGAGACACTCCTTTACTGACGACATCGGGGAAGACCATGTCAATACTGCCCACAGTGATGTAGAAGTACCGATCAATTAGTGGGTTCATGCCATCAGTCACATCAAATTTGACCAAGTCTCGAATGCCCTCCTGTCCATTGTGTGTGTAAACTAAAAGCCCTGCGTCGATTTCAGCTTGTGTGAAATTCATACCAAGTGTAATGTTCTCCAGAGACCCAGATGGGGTTTTTCTCTGCAGGAAACCTTGACCAGGCCCGAACCGGGTTATATACGTAAGTGTGCTGTCTTCTGAATCCAAATCTGTTGCTTTGAGCATTTTATTGTTGATTTCTTTGGTCTCTCCGATGTCCACCTCCAACCCGTCGTTGATGAGCATCCTGGGGGTCTCGTCATCAACAGCAATGATCATAACCACAGCCGTTTTTTGCACAGAGTACTTTCCATCCGTCAGAATGACATCAAAGCTGTCCTCTGTTGTCTCTGAGTCATCGTGCTCATAAATAATGCTTGATGCCTCTCTAATCTGCTCTAAAGTGAAATTAGTCACCAAAACCGAGCCTGTGGATAGCTGGTTCAAAATGGCACCGTGCTTGGGAGGTCTGGAAATGATGAACATCAGCTCCTCAGGTGGAATATCAGTGTCGGCGCCATTCAGAATGGGAGTGTCGATGACAATGTTCATCCCCTCCATCACAACTATCTCCCTCAAATAAATCTCCGGCTTTTCATCATTTGCTGGGATGATGACAATTGGGAAGAAATGATTTTCTGAGAAATTGATGCCATCAGAACACCTAAATGTGAATCTATCCTCCACTGGCTCTACTCCCTTGTGAATGCTCTGCACATAGTGGATATTTCCTTCCCTGATGTCTCTGATGGTAAAAGCACTGATAGCTGTTCCTGACCTGGACTTTTCGGAGCCTGGGGCTGGGGATATATTCTCCACATAGCCGGCGGTGGGCTGGACAATGATGGTGCAAAGGATATCATCTGTTGGAGTGTCGTTATCGTCAGCATTCAAGTGCTGAGGGCCAATGGTGTATTTTTCTCCTTCAATGACGCTGAATTGAATCCCAACTCCGACCTCGGGGGCCTGGCTGTCAACAGGAAGGATTGTGACTCGAACATGGACTCCGTTGACCTTATTGCCACCCACTGTCCAATCATCAGACATATCTGTGAGAGTCAAATTGAATCCATCCAGCTGAGAGGAGAGGCCGATCTCTCCACCAGTGTGTGCATACACGACCACACCATTAATTATGTCAGCCTGTGTAAACCTTGTTGCAGGCACTCCCTTCACCAATATTTCACCCATTACTGGAGGATCTTCCACAATAAAGGTAAGCTGGAGGTCATCTGTGTCGTCATCATGGCCCTGAATCACATTAGTTGTGATTTCCGTGGCTCCATTTTCCAGTACATCCATATGAGACCCGATTGTTCCCGCAGGCAAGCTGACGGTTGGAGTTTCATCATCGACAGGCTTTACATTAACTTTGACCGTCACGGTTACAACATGAATCCCATCACTGACATCCAGCTGAAATTCATCACTCACTGTTTCCTCTCCGCTATGAATGTATGATATCTTCCCCTCTGAGATATCCTCAAGTCTGAAAACCCCTTTTCTCTCCAGGTCAGTGAATGCAGCCTGGATTTGGCCATGTTTAGGGGGCTGGCTCAGAGTGAAGGTAATTTGTTTGCTCTCTGTGTCCAGGTCTGTGGCATCCAGCTCAGCGATGGTGATGATGTGCATGCCCCGTTCAAACACAGAAAAGCCTGTGTTTGTGATCTGAGGGGGTTTGTTGTTGACAGGCTGGAGATAGATAGTGAAAGTGCCTTCTACGCTGTTCCCAGCTGTGTCTTCCACAGTGTAGCGACACTGCACCACATGGGCTGTGATGCCCAGCTCAACATCTGGGGGGCCGTATGAGATCTTATGATGGTTAATCTGAGCTTGTGTGAACTCCGTGACTTCAGTGTCAGGGCTGTCGGTCAGAACCAAAGAACCGAACACAACTGGATTATTTTCGTCTGTATCTGTCGGGGGCTGAATAACCGTGTATTTGAGGTCACGGTCCTCAGAGTCCAAGTCGGTGTAGCGCAGAACTTCTTTGCTAAAGTGTGTGAGCTTGTACTCCTGGACGGTCATCTGCAGCGTGGTACCTGGGAACAGCTCAGGGGGAACGTCATCGATAGGTAAAACACGGATTATAAATACGCTCTCTCCTGACACGTTTGGGGGGTCATTGTCATCCTGAACTGTGAATATAAACTGATCCATGATGGTGTCTATGTTGTGAGGGCCTGTGTGCTTGTAAAACAACTTCCCGTCAGTGATGTCTTTTTGAAGCCACTCTGTAACCTCCTTCTCATACATCTCATCCTCAGCATTGAACTTCCAAGAGGAGGGATCCTCTGGGGCATCTGACTGTCTGAGCAACACTGTGCCAATTACAGAGAAAGGAGGGACAATAGTGAATTTAATAGTCGAGTCCTCAGAGTCAATATCAGCAGCGCTGAGCATGAGGGGAGATATGGGCATCATTTGATTTTTGAACAGCACCAGACCAGTGTTGGCATTTATGATAGGTGGCTCATCATCAGTGGGAACAATTGTAATAGGAAAAAGAAATTCTACTTCATTCTTTCCGTCTGTCATCTTGAAGACAATGTTGTCACTGTATGTGTCACTCCCGTCATGCTGGTACACAACAACCCCTGTTACGAGGTCGGCAGGTGTGAAGAATTTTCTGTGAGAGCCCAGAACCACGAGGTCCCCGTGACGCAGACCGTCCACCACCGTGATGGTGACGCTGTCCAGGTTGTCCTCGTCGCTGATCTCCAAGTTGTGGGCGCTGAAGAGAGGCCGAGACTGGCCCTCGTACAGCAGCTGGCCGGTGTTGCGCGTCACAACAGGGGCCAGAGTGTTCATCGGCTTCACAACAATCATGAAAGCAAAAGGGTCCGACACGGCCCCATCTGTGTCCACCACCTCAAACTCCAGCTGGAAAATCCTCTCTGTGTCTGAGTCCAGGGAGGGCGGCTTGTAAGCTATTTTCAAATCACGCAAATCTCTCTGGTAAAAGGATGTAATGGGCAGGTTTCTGTCATCCGTGCTGACTATGTAGCCCTCCTCATAGGATAAGGGGGAAGTGATGTTGAAAATAAGCTCATCTGAGTCTGACTCTGCATCCTCAGCAGCCAGCATGTCAGGGGTGAGGGCGGTCATGACAAACTGGCTGACCTCCATCATCATCATGGACACAAAGCTGGGTTTGGGGGGAGTGTTTTCCTCTCCCTCTTTGATGCGAATCATGAGATGAAAATACTCCTGTTTCACTAGGTTGCCCTCCTTATCATGCAGCTCCACAACCATGGGAACATAGTCCCTGTTGGGAGACTTGCGATGAAACGTGTGCTCGTAGCGGATGTCAGCTTGTGTGAATTCATCACAGTCCATCATTTTGGAAAGTTTACCCCCATCAATGAGTTTCCCATATCTGGGCAGCGTGCTGCCGCTGGACAGAGATGTCACCTCACATTTGTGTGAGTCTCTATCATAAGTAAACTCTAAAATCTTCTTATCAATAGGGTTGCTGATCCCTTTGAGATTATCAACTGTGAGAGGCATGTTTTTGGTGAGTAACTCTAGTTGCGTAAAAACTACTTCCACCTCCATCATGAATGGGATGATAACGGTTTCGGTTTGCGCGTCATACCTGAGCTGCAGCTTCACTCTGTCTCTGGCTGGACTTCTGGATCCGTAGTGGGAATATGTCACATCGCTGGGACCGAAATCGCACGGAAACTTTTTGGGCGAGAGGTGCCCCGGTCTCTGTGACAGCGGGTCGTTATCCAGCACGGTGATGCTGCACCGGTCTCCCGGCTGAGTCTGGATCACCAGATCATTGATGGGATCGATGAAGAGCGATCTCCCGAAAGGCACGCGTATTCCGTTGTTGGCCACCAAGATGGCATCTTCTGATAGTTCTGATCTCAGTGCGTAAAATAATCCAGAGCTGTCAGGCTGCGCGGAGACGATACCTGTAACTGAAAAACACAGGAGAAGTCTATGGAACAACATCTTCGCAGCCGAATCGGAGCCGAAAAACAGTCACTGTGCCAAGGTGCTGCTGATGCAAAAACGCCCCGATAGGGGAAAAAAAAAAATCCCCAAAGTGTTGGGAGTCAGCTGGGTGCCTACACGGAGATTCCCATGCATCTATCCGCCCGAAGCCTCCACATACTCAGCGAGAATAGCGCGCATGAGTTTTAACTTCAGACACTTGAGAGCGCTGCGTAAAGAGCTACCGCCCATCTGTGCGCATATTGGAGGGTTCGGGAGGACTTGTTACCTCAGACTCACCGCCAATGGGCAGCACAGCTGACAGTCACAGGGAGGAGGGGACTTGGAGATGAGCTGAATTACACAGATGTGATTCATTATAGTGCAATTATCGAGTTCTTTTTTTCCCCTCTCTCTCTCTCTTGTTAGAACTACTTCCTGCAAGATTTAAGATATAATATCAAATACCATATCGAAGTACTCCTCATGAGTACTTTACTGATAGCATCATCATGTCTTCTGTGGACATACACGCTCACTGATGAAATTGTGAGAAACGTCAAATTTGAAACCCAGAGGGCTGCAAATATTTTTCCATAGTGTGCTAAAGAGAGAAAGCTTAATAACTCCACTAACTTTGTTTTGCTTTGATGATAGAGGCAGATTTCTAAAAGAAGGAATCACACACAAGAAAATGTAAAAATATATTTTCCAAATGTATGAAAAATAAAAAAATCTTTCTTGCAAATGTGCACATATAATTTATGCACTTGCAGGTTAGTATGTCCTAGGGTTCATTTCTAATTATTAGGATTATTAATTCGTACATCCCTCAGAAATATGGCTTAATTTCCTGGGTCCAGTCCATTGTTGTAAGTCATCTGTCCCCTAATACTGATGATATAAAGTTTGGGCTTTGGGGTTTAATTAGAGGGACGCTGCCATTAGTCAGTCATTTCTGGCTTATTAATCCGTGGTAATATTTCTTCTCATTTACTCTACTGTAACTCCACACTTCCAGAAAGCTTTGTGTGAGTGTGAAGGTGAAAGCAAAGGACTGGGTCGCTTATTTCTTATTCATGTATGCATTCATCCATTTATTTATTCTACTGTTTATATTTGAGGCAAATGCCCAGTTCAGTGTGGGCCTCTGAAACATGTTGACCTTCCCTCGAGCAAGAAGAAGAAGCTGTAAAAGCCTCCCATTGCCCATTAGGCGAGAGAAAGATTGACCATGTCCTTGTCAGTCTAGATCAGTTAACTATAATGCCAAAAAAAAAACAAAATTTCAAGATGTGTGAAAATACACATTCAGCTGTCACGAACCAAGAGCTACGGCAAATTGCTGCTTAAGACTGGGGAAAATCTATCTTGCTAGACCTTGGTGGTCCTGCGGGGAAATTTGTACAGCAAGCTGGAACATCTGTCAAGGCTAAGTCGCGAGGGGATGAACCCACTCCTCTCCTCCTGCTCGGCAAACGGGGCTTTTTGATGTTATCAGCTTTCTGCCATTTTAACATTTTCTGCTGAATATATTCTTTATTGATGCATAGCGTTTGTGGAGTGGGATTTGCATTGGTTTTGGCAACTGTCCTGGTCAAATAAAGAGCACGGCCGCCATTAATAAAAGCTAAGTCAGGTAGACGTTTGTGCAAAAAAATGTTCGCATTTAATGACAAAAATGGTATACGCATTAGTTCATAGTCGCTGGAAAACAAGTGTGAGATTTTTCGATAGCTCTGAAACTGGAATCAGTCGTGAATGTTTGATAAGTTTGACGCTTACAAAGCCGCCAGCCTTGAGACTTCAAGATCCTTGTACAGAACGCTGATCCTTAGCCACACGGCTTGGGACTACATTTTTGCTCTCGACTCTCCACCACCCACATTTAAAATGCCAGGTGATTAGAGGGTTTCTGGAACCTTGTTATTTCAAAGTACAAGACACCCTCCTCCTGCTTTTCCAGCTGTCGTACTCTTTATATGCTCAGAAACATTCTTCTTGTGATTTTACATGAGAGGATCCACTCAGACACATATGCGTGTTACATTTGCACTGTGGAAACTGGGTGCATTATGAGGATTATACTGAATACTTAAATCTGATAAGAGAAACGGGGGAACAAAGGAAGGATATAAAGATCATCATTAGGTTGACTAAATTAGAGACTAGTGAGCATTTTCACCTGGAACTTTAAACCACAACGTTTGCTTCCCACAAAATTATTTTTCACACAAAAGCCCCGTATGATGGCACAAACGAGCACCTGTGATTCCCATTATTTCCACTGTCTGGACGGTCGGCTCACAAACATGGGTTCTTTTTCCCATTTGACTAATTAGCACTTAAACTCTGGCTCATCCCTGCAGCCCATCTCTATCACCTTAACCGCAAAGCACAATGAAACTTTGGGAAAGTTCGGCCTCATGAAGTATTTATAAGATATTCACACAGTACAGGATGTGGGGTTCCTCCTGCACAGCGGCTGCTCTGCTGTGATAAGGCCGCACGTGGAGATTGTGGGGTTCGAGCCTACATGGGAGAGTGAAAGATTCAAAACTGTCAGCTAATGACAGTAAGAGGGTTGGGTGCTATCAGATTGTTGTATTTGCATACAATCTTGGCACAAATGACAAAAAAAAAATGTTCCAAACATGTCATAAAAGCTAATTTATTTGAATAGATGAGCTATTTGCGATGAGCTGGACCCACATACACCACTGAAAGCCAAATGAATATTCACTTTTGCAGTGCACATTATTACCGGAGGAGCGCATTCATCTAAATCAACTATTTGCGTCATCTTTATGGTCAATCTAGAAATGGCTTAGGATGATCATTGTTTGGCCTGCCAATGTAAAAACCGTATTTTGCAATGCTTGGCCATGTCGTTCGGTTTGATTACCAGGAAGAGCAACTATGACAAAGCCATCACACCCCCCCTCCAACATAATTACAAACAATGCAATACATATTCTCACTGCAAGGCAGAGCCACAAATTCTGACTGAATTGCAAAGATAAAATTTGATTCGTTTGAAGACACACGCCACCCACACACCCCGGTCCCAACAGAACCAAGAGGTAGGAGTTTTAGTCTGTGATACTGTGACAAAGCATGTGACAGTGGAAGTATACGGGATGTTGTGTTTTTTGTTTTGTTTTTTTTTTTCTTTCTGGGGACAATTTTCTGCTTCTGGTTTGTCTCTTACTTCACAACATGCTTTTGCAGATGTCCAGCAGGGTTTGAGTTCATGCACAAAATCAGTTCATTGTGTGAGGGGAAAGCTTCGTGTTTCGCATCTTGATTGCGCTGTGCTCTTTTTTCTTTTTTTTTTTTATCACTTCAGGAGAACATTTTCTCTCATCCCATTAAATAAATAAAGGACCAATAATAACCCTGATGAATATTGTACATATAAAAAGGAATGCATCTTTGGCTTTCTTGCACTTCACTTCAGTATTATTCCACAATATTTTAACAACTACTTTGCACTGATTTCTTTTAAAGATTTGCCGTATATGAAGTAAATCTGCTTGACTACATTAAAATGCTGCTTCTATACTAAAGCAAAGTACCTGCACCTATTGCAGGACCTTTACTTGTGCATATTTTTGCATTGTGCTGTCTGTGTTTTCGCACACAACTTGACCACTTCCTTGCCCAAGCATACATCACACAGCTGTTACTCTTATGCTTTCAACACTCCACATCAATGAAAGGAGCAGGCCTCCTGTCACTCTCTGCTCTGTCCTCACTATCTCCATAACCACACACACAACCTGTTTCTTCTCAAGGAAGCAAACACATAAAAGCAACGGCTCGACATGCAAAACCACTGGGTATATCTTCGGTGTGAAAACAACCCGAAATTACTTGTGTTTCTTTTTTTGTGTCTGGGTCAGCTGAAAGTGACCTCCCAAGTTTGCCCGTACACATTCACACGAGCACGTACAGATGCATACGGATCGACATCTGGTCTGTCTTTGTTCCCATATTACAGTCGTGAAAATGTAGGCATTCAGAGGACACACCGGGAGCCCCTATTCTCCAAACAGACACGTTAGCACCGCCGCTGCTCTGTAATCATCAACACAATGACCATGTGAGTTTACACAAAGTGCCATTCTGGTTAATGTTTACTGTCTGGTGAAACTGCCAGTTTGTTCCTGCGTCTCACACACTCATTTCCATCACGGTTGACAATGCTCGTGTAGACTTTTGCCTTTCAGTCACAGAAACAAGGGTGCTATTATGAATTAGAGGAGAATTGGGTAAATATCTGTTACATCTGAGAATTTGTTGCCAATTGATTGCCCTGAAAACTGTGAGAAAAGGAAGTCTTTTCATGAGCGACTTTACTGGCTTTTGAAAAAAAAAAAAAAAAAAGACCCTAATTTGCATCAGTTCCTTTCAGGTCTGCCAGGTACTGTACTTTTGCAAAACCCGGTGTTTCACAAGTTGATGTTCACTGGTGAGACTTTTACCATAACTTCAAAAGAGACAGTATACTAAACTGTTGTGCGGTAATGACTTGTTTACAGCTTGTGTGTGAAACTTTTTCCGGCTGGTTGGCTTCGTGACATGCCCCCTACAGGGCGTATTTTCTCTATTTCATGTGATTTTACAGAGGTGATGAGTCTAATAAGGGACAAGCCTGCCACACTCCATCACACATCAGACTAAGCACTCAGCCCTCAGCCCTGCAGGCAGTGTCAATTTGCAACGGTTGTTGTCAGCTCTTTTGGCTCGTTGGAGGTGAACATGGGTTACAGTACTTTCTGCAGCATTTTTCTCGTTACTGTGGATCTGTGTTATATAGATCAAAAATGAATATGAGAAGAGAAGAGAAGAGAAGAGAAGAGAAGAGAAGAGAAGAGAAGAGAAGAGAAGAGAAGAGAAGAGAAGATTTTTTTAAACCATTGTTCGTACAATATATTCAAGACTTGCATTGTTTTCTGTTTTTTTAATAAAACTTTGGAAGTGTAAGCACAGATAAGAATGAATTGCCTACAGAG